TAGGTAAATCCTTTGGCAACTCAATGCTCTAGGCAACTCCTTAAGACTACAATTTGCAGGGACAGCTAGGTGGCTGCAGTGGATAGAGCATTGGTCCTGGATTCAGGAGGACCTGAGTTCAAATTCAGCCTCAGACACACAACACTTACTAGCTGAGTGACCCCAGGCAAGTCACTTAACCCCATTGCCTACCCCCCCCCAAAAAAAAAGGACTATAATTTGCAGAGAAAGTGACAGTCTACATATTGGAATAAGAAGTTACAAACCAATTTCGACTCTAACCCTAACTTTAATTCTAAATCTAAATTCATTTCTAACCCTAATTTTAATTTTCTAACCCTAAACTTAAATTTGTTTCTACATTCATTTCTATCACTAACTAACTTTACCTCTGACTCTGCCTTCACCTCTGACTCTAGCCCTAACCCTAAAGTTATTTTTACACCGATGAAATCACAAGTCATTCTTCAATTGATAAATGGTCAAAGGATATAAACAGGCAGTTTTCAGAAGAAGAAATCAAAGTTATCCATAGTCATAAAAATGCTCTAAATCACTATTGATGAGAGAAATGTAAATTAACACAACTCTGAGGTACCACCTCACACCCAGCAGATTGGCTAATATGACACACACACAAAAAGGGAAACAATAAATCTTGGAGGGGATATGAGAAAATTGGGGCACTAATTGACTGTTGGTGAAGTTGTGAATGGACTCAATCATTCTGTAGAGCAATTTGGAACTGTGCCCAAAAGGCTCTAAAACTATGCATGCCCTTTGACCTAGAAATACTGCTACCTGATCTGTATCCCAAAGAGATTGAAAAAGGGGAAGGAGAATGACCTATTTGTACAAAGGTGTTTATAGCAGCTCTCTTTGTGGTGGCCAAGAATTGGAAATGGAGGGGATGTCCATCAACTGGGGAATGGCTGGACAAGTTGTGGTATTTGATTGTGATGGGATACTATTGTGCTAAAAGAAAAGACAAACAGAATTATTTCAGAAAAGCCTAGAAAGACCTATATGAACTGATCCAAAGTGAAGTGGGTAGAACCAGGAGAACACTGTACACAATAACAGCAACATTGTACGATGATCAGCTGTGAATGACTTAACTATACTCAGCAATATGATGATCCAAGACAATTCCAAAGGACTCATGATAAAAAATGCTATCCACCTCCACAGAAAAAACTGATGGAGTCTGAACACAGATGGAAGCATACCATTTTTCACTTTTTAATTTTTTCAGGGTTTTTTTTTTTAAATCTGTGTTTTCTTTCACAACATGACTAATATGGAAATATGTTTTGCATGATAGCACGTGCATGACATATCAAATTGCTTACCATTTTGGGAGGAGAAGAATAAAGGGAGAGAATTTGGAACTCAATTTTTGTAAATGAGTGTTAAAAATTGTTTTTAGATGTAATTGGGAAAAAACAAAATATTATCAAAAAAAAATTTAAAAAAAGATATCTAACTTTCGTTTGTAGTGTAGTTGTTCAAATACTCCAGGCCTTTTATCTATACTTAGCTTCTGCCTTTCCAATAGAAATTCCCATACTTTCTTTGTCATGATCTAACATGATTCAATGACTTTAGAGCTTGAGTTTGATATTAACTGTATGACCTTGGGTAAATCATCTCTACAGATTGGATGTTGACTTCTCATCTATAAACTGAATGGGTTAGAATCTGTCACCTCTAAGGTCCCCTCCAGCCCCGTGTCCCTTGGGAATCACAGATCTCCTCATCAAAAACAATTATAATAGCTAATTGGTCTTGCTGCTTCCGGTCTTTGCTCCTTCCCAGTTCATACCCTGCCCCCACAAAAAAGTCTCCCTAGTACAATCGCTCCCATACTCAAAAATCTTTAATGATCCTCTAATGTTTATTAAGATGAAAGAGACAAGTTCCTGAACCTGACCTTAACGTTCCTCCACAGTCTGCCTCCAATCTCCCTTTCCAGCCTTGTTTCAGTCTGTCCATCTCATATACTATACATTTTAGCCAGGCCATATCATTGGCATTCCCCCAATCTTGTCCACCCCTTTCTGCTTTTGTGAGTTTTCACAGGTTGTGTCCACACAGAGAACAACACTCCATCCACCTCTTTACCCGCTGAGATATTTCTCATCCTTTAACACCCTTCTCAAATGTCAATTCTCCTTTGAAGCCTTTCCTAATCACCCCAGATTAAAATGAGCTATTATTATTTGTCTCATGTATCTTGATGGCATCACATCCTGTTTTCTATTTCATTCATTTCTGAATGTGTCTTGATCTTCCTTATTAGACTTCAAGCTCTCTAAGGTCAGGAGCTATGTTCTTCCTGGTCTTCAGTCAGGTAGCACAGTGAATAGCATTGGACCTGGAGCAAGGAAAACCTGAGTTCAAGTCTGGCCTCAGACACGTAGCTATGTGACTCTGGGCAAGTCACTTAATCTCTGTTTGCCCCCAACTTCCCCATCTGTAAGATGGGAATAATAATAGCACCTACCTCCTAGGCTTGTTGAGATAATATAACTGTACAGTGTTTAGCATAGTGCTTGGCACATAGTAGGTGCTATATACCTTTTCATTACCTATCAAGGTTGTCACGAGGATAGAAGGAGATATTTGTAAAGTGCTTTGTAAACCTGAAGGTCCCATAGAAATGCCAGCTATCATTAGTATTAGTGTTATCTTAGTATCCACAGTACCTCGCGTAATTAGTTTAAAATAGGCAATTAATAAATGTTTGTTCAATTGAGCTAGGAAATGAGATGGTTCAAAAGATTAGAAGTTGTACTGAGAGGGGAGTTTCCCCTTTCAATGTTATTGAAGGTAGAGGAATTCTGAGTGGTGATGCTTGTCATGAAAACTTATTCAGAGTGGAAGTGAGGCACCATGATTGAGGGGTTTGAGGAATTCTAGGCCCAGGGGGTAAGGGTTAATGACATGAATATTGACACCACCAAGGAGGATGACAGGATTTGAAGGGAAGAAAGCCAGGAAAATTACAACTTCCTATGCTCTCTAGTCTATAAAGCATGTGTGAATTTGTCAGCTTCTCTGTTATTCACTCTAGCTATCAATCAAATTCCCTAAGGCAACTAGGTGGCACAGTAGATATAGTACTGGGCTTGGAGTCAGGAAGACTCATCTTCCTGAGTTCAAATCTGGCCTCAGACACTTACTGGCTGTGTGACCCTGGGCAAGTCACTTAACCCTGTTTGCCCCAGCTTCCACATCTGTAAAATGAGCTGGAGAAGGACATGACAAACCACATCAGTATCTTAGCCAAGAAAACCCTAAATGGAATCATGAAGAGTTAGACATGACTGAACAACAACACCAAATCTAGTTCCCACTACTCTTCTTGCCACTGATGTTAAATTTTGTACCTGCCCTGGAACCCAGCCTAGAAGTTGTTGATTCCAAAAGCTGATGTGGAATTTTTTTTTAAACTGGGTCTCTCTATCTCACCCTGACTATCAGTACATGGCCACTCCTGGACCCTGTCTCACCAGTCATCAGCACAAGAGCTTTGCTCTGTTCTGTTTCATCCCTCCTTAGACAGCCTGGTGCTCCACCCACTCATTCTCTTGTGAGGCTCAAAAAATTCAGAGACATTGTTTCTGGGTAATTTAATCATTTTATTAATAAGGCCAGCATAGTTCTTAATAAAAGGATAGTAATTTGGCCATCTCTCTTAGATCAAAGACTCCTCCTCATGGTGGTGGGCTCACAGTTTACATGCCCTTCGAAGAGTAGGTGTTCCTGAGGAGTACCAATCAACTCCGATTGGTTAACATAATGGGAGGTAGGCTATATTAACGTGAGAGTCTTGGAGTACATAACTTGGGTCACCCAAATCATGGTCAAAGAGACTTCAGTTTCTGTATCACCTGTTTTGACAAAAGGGAAAATTAACACTTTTCCAGACCTGTCTGAGTAAACACAATGGACAGGAATACACCCATTAGGCCAAATTTAGAATTTCTTTTACTGTCTGATTAGATCTTGGCCTGGGTAAATCTTTAAGAGAGATTTCCCACACTGGTTGGTTTCTGAACGAGGAAGTAGAAAAGGTGAAGAACTCTGGTTCTGAGTCAATAATTAGTTATTAAATACAAGAGAGAAGTATTCATTTCTCACATTGTTCTGTTGTCAGGGGCTCACCATATTGGGGCACAGACTTAAGATCAGCTCTAGCCTACTAAAGCTCATCACTCCCGAGTTCAAGCAATCCATCAATCTTGGTCTCCCTAGCGGCAGGAATCATAGGCACGTCCCACCATTCCTGGCACCTGCTACCGAACTTAGCAGTAGGAACTCAGCAGGTAGAATGGCCTAAGTCAAAATAATGTTCCCCAATATGAAAACTTTGATTCCTGAATTTCTGATTCTGATGCTTCTTCCTCCAACCCCCCTCCCCCCGCCATCTGTGTACCTCTGATTTTGACTCAGCTTCCTTTGAACACCCTTTGCTTCCAATTTTTAGACAATTTCAGTTCTAAGAATCATATCCCTGAAGGTCAGAGTCATACAAACAGTGACTGCAAAAGTCCTATGACTTCTTACACAGGCACACCCAAGATAATAAGGAAAGGCAATGTGAAAGTTGGGTTGCTTTCTCTGAATATTTCAAATGTATTTTCAAAATGCAAAACAATACTTCCTACCGTAGTCTTATTGTAACAAATTTACTTTCACCAAAGGCATATAAATGAATGAATATGCATTTAATTTTCTGAATTCTTCCAACTGAATTTTTCTTTTTCCAGCTTGTATGTAGTCAGCCAGTAAATAAGCATTTGCAAAATGTTTACTATGTGCTAGGAACTCTGGTAAGCACTAGGATTACAAAAACAAGCAAGCAAGATAGTGCTTTACACTCTAATGGCTACAATGACAAATATCAGGATGGGAGCAGCAAACTGGAGTCAGCCCAGCGGACATGGCTTGGGTGGGGCGGGCCTGGGACTAGGCCAGAGAAGGGGAAGGCTCACCAATCATCACCCAGGGCCCCAGGATAGGGAGCTTGAGTTCAGGTGGGAAGAGAAGTGGAGTGCAGACAGCATATCTTGGTAATGGCCAGGAAGTGGCCTGGGCTGGGGTCTGTAATAGATAAAGTCAAATTAGAATCCAAAGCTTCATGTGCAGGGGTATAAATTTTGGTGGAAGAAGATCAGAGTTTAGGCAGCACTGATATAGGCATCAACTACCCTTGCAATCTCTACCCCTGCTGCAATTTTTTTGGGCTTAATTGCCCAAGGGGAGCATTCATTTCTTTTTTGGTACAAAGTGGGAAAGAAAAAGGGAATAAGCATTTATTTAATACAATCTACTATGTGCCAGGCACTGTGCTGAGCATTTTACAAATACTATCTTATTTGATCCTCACAACAATCCTAAGAGGTAGGTACTATTATTATCCCCACTTTACAGTTGAGGAAACTGAGGAAGACAGAGGTTAAATAACTTGCCTAGGATCACACAGCCAGTAAGTGTCTGAGGCCAGATTTGAACTCAGGTCTTCCTGATTGCAGGTCCTGAGCTCTATACACTGTCCCATGTAGCTGCCTTTAAAATGGAGAAGAGCAGCAATGAAAATTTCCAGCCTCTGTACTGCTGCTCCCCTCAATAATGACATGAAGGACATGACTATTCCCTAGAAAACTCATCTCTGAACTGCCCACCTACCAGCCCAGAAACCTGCAAATTGTCTTGGCTTGCTGGGAAGAAGTAGCAACATGGTCTGATGTGTCATAGAACCTTTTACATGTTCTCTGTCATGGTTAGATTCTGTCCTCTCTTGTTCCTTATCATCCCTAGTAGTAGTTTAATAATCACAGGTCCATCCTTTTTGTGTCTCAAGTCTTGCATCCTTTGAGAATTTCATAGGAGCTTAGCTTTATTGCTGAAAAGGACCACAGAAGCCATATAGGGGCCAAATGACCTTTCATTTTACAGATGAGGAAACTGAGGCCCATAGAGATTAAGTGACTTGCCCAGGATAGTAAACACTGGAGTGAGATTTGAGCCCCAATCCCTTTACTCCAGAGCTTACTCTCTTTCCACTAGTCTGTCCTGGAGCCTTCCAAAGTAGCTGTCCAGTTCCTGAATACCGTCAAGCCAGTCTCTATAAGGTACAAAAGCAAACATGCCCAGAAGGATACGACATTCTTTCCCCTCTTCTGCTGCAGCTTAGTTTATACCTGAGAGGTCCTCCTGTTACTTGTGTCACCTATCTAAGTCCTGGGATGTAGCACAGTTGGTCTGGCTGTCTATAACATAGCTGTAGCTAAATTTGAGAGACAAGTCAGTTTTAACCACCTTCTCCATAGAGGTGATCTGTACTATATAACTTCTGAGGCCATGCACAATATAGTCACAGACTCACAAAGACAACTTCGTCAAGGTATACAGATGTCACTCATGTGACAGAAGAAGAAATTATATAGCATCCCCAGACCACCCAGCCATACTATTGTACTATTTGCCTGAGTCCTGCCTCATCCCTGCTGTTTGTAGTCCCTTCATAAAATTCCCAATCAATCAACAAGCATTTATTAACCACCTACTATGTGCCAGGCACTATGCTAGGCATTGGAGATACAAAGGCAAAGATGAAACAGTCTCTGCCCTCAAGGAGTTTACGTTGTAGGGGGGAGGACAGCACATAGGAGGGAGATGTGCATATAGGTGTTTATAAAATCAGCACATATCGTTAAAAATAAATACAAGCAAATACAGAAAGTTAGTCTGGGATAGTGACTAGAGAGCTACCTTCTCAGTCAGGAAGATCTGGGTTCAAGTCTTGCCCCTAATACATACTGGCTGTGTGACCTTGGGGAAGTCACTTAACTTCTAAGTGCTCCCATATACTCTAAGACAAGTTAGAGAAAAAGTACCAATCTTCACTGGCAGAGGAAATTCCTCCCTGGAAGGCCCCTGCACCAGTTAAATCACAAGTCTAGTAAAAAAAAAAAAAGAAAAATATGGATGTATTCAAGAGTATGGCTACCCCAACACATTTAGTTACCAGCTCTTGCTTCATTTGAAAATCTCAATAGCTGCCACCAAAGAACCAGCAGAGGAAATCAGGAAATTTTCCCACCTAGAATTTTCATTATACTCAGCTGTTCTGTATGAATACTCATTGTTCATTTGCCCTGGTTCCCTGCTTTAGCTGATCTTTATTCCTGGATGGCCTCAAGGCCATATGTAGTTCTCTTTGACCTGACTAGTTCTCTGGTGTATGTTCCTTCTCCTCTTTCTCTTCCTCTCTACTAATTCTCAAATCCTCGATTTGCCAGCTGAACCTAATAAGTTCCCGGTCTCAGGCTATTGCAGTTGGCTATTTACTCTCCTATGTTCCAAGCCCATCCCCAATTTCTCAAAGAATTAGCAGCTGGTTGTATATTCTATCCTCTGCTTTTGTCTACTTCACTTCTCCCCTACTGTCCTCTCTAAATCTTCTCACATTCACCCTCTTGCTGTAAAATGTTCTACACAGGAAAAGGTGGTGGGGGGGGGTTGAATTCTGCTTACGTGTTTTGAGATCACGAACAAGCTATTTTCTGCCTTTTAGCATAAACTCTCCTGACTCCTGAGCAAGCTCCTCTGAGGGGAAGGCACCCAAATGAACTTTGCACTGCTTTTCTCAGTTATTAGATTTGCAGTGGAAAACCTAATACATCATTTCTTCTCATTAGGTAAAATTATTTTTTCAGTGTGACTCAATCCAGATGAAAGCTATTAAGTGGTAGCATACCATAGAGGAGATTACAGAGGAAGGAGGGCAAGGGAGAAGTAATGGAGACAAGGGAGAAGTAATAAGCTGCTGGATGAATGCTTCAGGTTATCTATTCCCAGAGGAAAGGAGATCTGAGAAGCGGGGCTCCACAGCAAAGGGAAAGGAAAAAATCACAATGTGCAGAATTTCCTTCCTCAGCCATCTTGCCAGGGCTTCATAAAATCACAGAATTTAAGAGTTGGGAGGGACTTGGGTGACCATTCCTGTCCAACAGGAAAGGAATACCCACAGTAGCATACCTAACAAGTGACAATTCAGTGTCTACTTGAAAGCCTCCAATTTGGGAAAGCCACCACCTTTCCGGGCAGCCCATTTCATTTTTCAACAGATTTATCATCCAAGGTTGTATATTTAGCCCCTGGGTAAAGTAAGACCATTTTTCTGATCAGTTACTGGTATAAATCGAGGGACAGGGCAATTTAATTTCAAGTTAGAATCAGGAATTAGGAAGTTTACCTTCATAGGTAATTGCGGGGCAGGGGAGAAACATAAACAGTACCAAGTGAGAGTAGCATCAGAGCATTACCAAGTCTGGCTGAGTCTTTTGCAAGGATTCAGGCCATTCATCTTAAGAGGGACAGCATGGGTACAATATTCCAAGGGAATAAGACCAAAATCATTATCTAAATTGCTAAGTTAGGGTCACAGCACCTACTTGTTGAGGTAGCATGTCATTGAAGATTTAATGCTGGACATTAGAATTCTGCCTCAGACACATTAGCTGTGTGACTACTGGCAAAGTCACTTGACCTGTCTTAGTCTCAGTTTCTTGATCAATAAAATGGGGAGAATAATAGCAATTCCCTCACAGGGAAGTATTATTGTAAAGATCACATGGGATAATGTATTTTAAACACTTCATTTACCTTAAAGTACACAGTGTTTGACAAATAGTAAGCACTTAATAAGTTCTTGTGTTTTTTGACCGACTGATTGATTGATTAAAAGAGCTCAATGAGGACATGCCTCAAAGCCGTCTGAGGCTTTAAGCTGGCTCTTTGTCTTTGTTCAGTTTTTCAGTTGTGTCTGACTCTTCATGACTCCATTTTTGGGTTTTCTCAGTAGAGATACTAGAGTGGCTTAACATCTCCTTCTCCAGCTCATTTAACAGATGAGGATACTGAGGCAAACAAGATTAAGGGACTACCCCAGGGTCACACAACTAGCAAGTGTCTGAGGCCAGATTTGATCTCAGGTTTTCCTGACTTCAGGCCCTGTTCTGTATCCGTTTCACCACCTCGCTGCCTGTATCCAAAAATACAACTGAGAAGAAGCTTGCTCCCTAAGCTTAAAGTTGCGTCCATGCCTTTTCTCCACCCGCTTATCCATATGGAAGACTGAAAAAGACTTAGGGTTCAAAAATAGGAAACTCTGAGTCCCAGTTTGGTTTGGTAGTTTTTGAATGAATAACCATTATCTGTCTAATAATCTTACCTTCAGAGATTAAAATTTGGAGATATATGGAATGTTCATAATAAGCTAGCATTGAATCTCTGACAGAGGGACCCAAGCTCCTGGATCAGGAAGAGTATCTCAAAGAGAAAAGTAAGCCTGAAATTATTCATTAGGCTAATCCCTGATGCTGAGACTCTCCTGTTGGGGAGACAGGCTGAAGCAGACAAAACTGTGATGGAATAAGGCAAGAGAACCCAATGGGGAGGCTTTGTTGGCCCTTAGCAAGGGTTTCTGCCATTTTGTTAAAAAAAAAAAAGACTATTGCTAGAAAAAAAAATCTGAGCCTTATGCTTACAGTATACCTACTCCTCCTTGGAGGAAGAGATAGGTAAGGTCTTCAGCTGTGCCAGAAACTGGAACCATTGATCAGTACCCATCTGATCACTATCCAGAATTCAGTGGTGTTGACTACATGTAGTATAAGGCCAGTAGGGAGTAGGTCTAGCAAGAAGAGCAAGCCCTTCACAACGTGGTCCCTTCCTACCTTTACAGTCTTCTGTTCATTTGACTCTGCTCTACACATTCTTTGATCCAGCAAGGATTGCCTTCTTGCTATTCCTCACAGGAGGGAGACTAGGTGGCTGGGTCTGGAGTCAGGAGGATTCATCTTCCTGAGTTCAAACCTGGCCTCAGACACTTACTTGCTATGTGACCCTGGGTAAGTCACTTAATCCTGTTTGCCTCAGTTTCCTCATCTACAAAATGAGCTGGAGCAGGAAATGGCAAACCACTCTAGTATCTTTGCCAAGAAAACGCCAAATGGGGTCATGAAGAGTCAGACACGTCTAAAAAACTCCTGAACAACAACAACAATCTTCACACAAGGCAATCCATTTCCCACCTTTGTTCCTTTGAACTGGCTCTCCAGGCCTGAAATGTTCTCCCTCACCTCTACCTCTTAGCTTTCCTGGCTTCCTTCAAGATTCAGTTCAAATCCAGCTCAGATTCTTATAATCTAGCCAATAGCTCATTAATGTTCAGATTCCTTAAGAGTCTGGCCAATATGGTGGATGTTCTAATAAACCTTGTCTTTGGCTGAAAGAAAGCTAGGGTCAAATTCTCTTGGGCAGGACCTGTGTCTTGTGATTTTGGGGTCCCAGCACCCCTTAGCCCCTAAACCTCAACATTTTGGTGGCCCTCATGGGGAAAACTGCCTAACTCCAAGTTCTTCTCCAGCCAAGACTGGGAGGTATGTAATCCTCCCCTCCTTCTTTGTTGCTCTGAAGTTAGGGTCACTCTCCAAGTACCTAGGAAGGCTTGGAGGCAGACAGTTACAAAGCTGTCTCACACTCAGCCTGACACTCTCAGGCTCTTGGCCCACCAGTTCGGTTCGAGGCCATGGACCTACGTATACCTTCCACAGCATAGAGGACAAGGATGGATGTCCTATCTGGAAATGTATGCCCAATTCTGTTAATTCTCTCAGTGCTAGGGAATTGTGAAAACTGCAGGTACTTTTTGGTTCCCTGAGGCTTATTTACTCCCTTCTCTCTAAACCCCTGGATCCTCCTTCATGGAGGTTACAGGGAAAAGTTAGAACAACCAAAAACATCTTAGCAGATTCTGGAGGTTTTGTGATTGATCACTGAGTTCTGAAACACCTCCCCTTGAATCTAGAGGGTATTTGTTAACCCATCTCATAGGAGAAGAGAGTTTCACCCTTTCCCCTTCACCTTTGATTTCTCCCTCCCCTACCTGGGGAAAGGAAGGAGGGACGAGGGGCAGCAGCTACAGCATGGGCCCCACTTGCAATGGACTTGGGCCCTAGGGCAACCTTTGCCTGGAAGCATCACCCAGGTTCAGCATATCCTGCTCAAGGTAAAGAAGCTAACCTCTGAACCTGGGTTAGCATGCTCTTTTAAAGTTGTGGTTTTAACTGTTAATAATGAGACGTTGATTCTCTGTGTAAATTAATTTGGAAATGCATTTAACAAAACTGAAGTCACCTGATTGGTAATGCGCTGTTTCAAGTTTCAAATTGGTAAACTTTTTGTATCATTTATGTCAAGCAACTTTTCATAATTTGGTTACTGCTAAAATAATTTGGCTATTGTTGGTTACTGTTTTACTGTGTAAACTGGCCAAAAGGCTTGTTTGGGTTTTGTCTTGCTGAGAATTTGCAAGCATATAGAAATAATCTCTAATGTTGTCTTTTTACACCAGGACAAATTTAAATTTGAGATGTAAATCCTAGAAAAGTTTTTCCCAAGTTGTAATTAGTAAAATTTGCTGTTTGAGGTAAAAGCTCATAGGATTTTATTTTGAATTGTCTGATGGATCATAATAATCCATCCATAATCAGTAATCCACCATCTGAGAGAAATGCCGCAAGCTACTCAGAGAGAATGTGATACTGGTGGGAAGTCAGCATTGGGAAAAGCTAAGAGGACAATTTTAGCCTCAGTCTAAGATGGGATCCTTCTGGCTCAGTTTCCCCATTATTCATTTGAAAAGGAATCTTATTTACCTGGATATTTCTGAGTCTGGCTATGAGGTGGATTTGATACTGCATGGTTGGAAAACTGAATTATCTGAATCCAATCAGAGCTAAGGATGTTTTATCCTGTCATATCTGGGCCCTGTAGTCTTCTCAGATTTGTGTCTTCCAGACTACAAGTCATTTACCTACAGTTGGTAGCAAACAGAGGATACCAGCCAATGTCCCCCCATTGTTCCCTGGATGCAGCCTGTGGTCGATTCCAGTCAGCCTCCTCTTTGGGAGCCCCTTAAGTCAGGGACAGCTCTACACCCCTTGCTAGCAGGAAGCAGTTTCAGAAGCCCCTTACCCCAAAAGAATTTGGATCCCATTTGTTTGAGGGGGGAATGATGGGGTTGGGATCTGGAACCCAGAAAGGAAAAATCCTGAACTTTCCCACAAGGCCAAATCTTTGTCATTGGCCTGAGGCTATAATCCCATCAACTGCCCTTTCATTGTGGCTACCCTAATCTCCTAATTCTCTGTTACCTTTAACCTAGCCTAGCTCTCCATTGTCTTACCTCCCCATGGCCCCAGGCCACTTCCCACCCTTAATTGTAGCTAGGCTCCATTCTCCCTTGGCCACATGGTCCAGGTCCCTAGCATTCTATTACCTCACAATCCCTGCAGACTGCTTGGCCACTCTTAGATCCCTCCCCCAGTCTTTCTGTATATAAGGTCCATCTTGTCTCCATTAAGATGCTCAGATTCTTATAATCTAGCCAATAGCTCAGTAATGTTCAGATTCCTTAAGAGTCTGGCCAATATGGTGGATATTCTAATAAAACCTTGTCTTTGGCTGAAAAAAAAAAGATTCAGCTCAAATCCCACATTCTGTAGATCTTTTTCAATCACCTCTACTATTAGTGTCTTCACTTTGAGATTGGCTTCCATTTAGACTCTAAATGTAAATATAAATTTTATATGTACAGAGTAATTGGCAGGGGTTTGCTGGAGCCCACTCAGACCTACTCAGGAGAATAATTGTTACATTTTTCAGATTGAACTTAATCTACATTAAATATGACACACATGTTGTTATTCAGTCGTTTTTCAATCATGTCAGACTTTTTGTGACCTCATTTGGGGTTTTCTTGGCAGAGATCCTGGACTGGTTTGCCATTTCCTTCTCCAGCTCATTTTACTGATGAGAAAACTGAGGCCAACAGTGTGAAATGACTTGCCCAAGGTCACATAGCTGGTAAGTGTCTGAGGCCAGATTTGAACTTGGGAAGATGAGTCTTGCTGACTCCAGACCTAACACTCTATCCACTGCATCACCTACCTGCCCCCTGACATGCATATGTGTCTTTGTTTTTCAGAAAGCCCACTGTTAAATGTTTACCAGTGTACCCATGGTTATTTGCATATAGTTCTTGTTACCTCAGTGCTTAGCACAGTTCCTGACACATCGTAAATGCTTTAACAAATGTTTGTTGACTGGGTGAAATCACTAGAAGGTGGCAGCCCTGTAGCATTGGAGGTGTGAATTACCCTTCCATTCATAGGCCCTGGTCACATGTGTTCCTCTTACGTGTTTGCTCCTCAAGATATATTTCCTATATGTTTATTCTTTCCATTTATGCATGTACTGGTGGAAGATTTTTACCCCAGGTTTATGGGAAAATGCTTTGCTGCTCCTTTATTTTACTATGCCATTGTATTAAATGCCTTGCATTAAATTAACAGCATCATCTACTTAGCTATTAAAGGTAAATGTATTAGTAAAGAATTGTGAGCAAAAATTTTTAGAAGATACAACCCCATAGAGTGTCTTGAACTTGGGGAGTCCACTCTGGGGGGTGGAGGAGGAAGTACCACTATACAATACATATACAAATGATAATAATAGTAATTGTTATTATTAATCATTGTTCTCAATAATTATAATTATTATGGGAGATGCAGTAGTGTCAGAGAGAATCCATAGAATAACAGCCTGGGCGGGGGGGGAGGAACAGCTATTTGGTCAAGAATTTCTGGGCATCATGTATTTTCAAAGCCTGCCTTGCCTATGTGGAGCTGACACAAATCCTAGCTGTTGCTGTAGCTTCAATGTGGGGATTGTTCTCTGAAGTCTAGGAATATCTTAGTAGGACTCCAGAAGCCTTTTCTCCAGAATATGGGCCCTATATGATTAGATTTTTGCCTGGTTTCTCCACCCCATTATATCCCTTCTAACATCATTACCTTCCCTTCCTAATGCTAATCTGTTTATCTAAGCCCATTTCCTTCTGCTAGCTCCTTCTAAACATGGTTTCAGAAAACCACTAGAGGAATGGGCAAATATCTAGAGAATTCATGCCACATCTATATTGCAGTACAGTTCAGTGCCGTGGTAATTGCCTCATTTGCACATAGAAAATCCAGCCCCCAGACAGAGTTGAATCAGCCATGCAAATAAATGCCCAAGCATTTACTTACCAGACACCCACCTCTGCTCAGTTTCATCTTCTCATGGGCTAAAGATGCAGAGAATAGAAGCAGAAATGCCTACTTCCTTCCCCTAACCCCAGTAATCATCTTCATGGCTTACTAGACCACCTATATCCCTGAACGGCTTGGTGCCTCAGTATCACAAGGGGTGATTTCTTTCCTAATTTAATGACATACAGGATCAAGGGCTTTGGAAATCTACAACCCAGCTACTGACGAATGAGTTATTATTGTCACATTCCTGAATTTTATCTGGTGTGTTTTAAACAGTGCTTGCCACAAGCACACAGAAGTTCACAAGAAGGCTTTATTTAAGCAGCGGGAAAATTATCTGCTGGTTGTGCGACAGCTGGGCCAGCTTCCACATACCAAATATTTTTTGGGTAGGATCAGATTAAGGCTTCAAGTGGTTTCAAGCAGAGAGCAATACTATTTTGGGGGCACAGGCCACGGGAAAGGTTTATAATTCAAAGTTAGCTTTTATACTTGTCCCAGAATTTCCTATTTATAACTAAACACTATCAGTATTAATAAATGTGTCATAGATTAACATGATATCTCGGTTTTAAAACCCTATCATTCTGCTATTCCTTTGGATAGGGATATGGGATGGACCCAAGAAGGGATGGACCTGGGCAGAATCCGTGCTGCCATTCGAGCCCTCCCTAGATTGGGGAGAAAAAGGAAAAGGCAGGATTGGGAATGGTTTGAAGTTAATCAATAATCACATATTATATGCCTAGCATATACTAGGCGTTCAACTACATGTTGGGCACAAAAAAAGCAGGGGCAGGGTGGAGTGGAGGGGAGACAGTCAATGACCTCAATGACCTTGCATCTTTTGTAAATTAAAAAAAGGTTTTATTATTCTGAATGTGACAAACACCAGCAAACATAAATATTTTCACATACAAAGACAAACATAAAAAATGTATATGAAACTTCAAACTTCATTAATATGGCTTGTTTTAAGTATGTATTCAACTCTTACAATAGTTTCAAAGCCGTTCTGGTGGCCTGCATGCCCCTCTGAGGCTCCTTCCTATCTCTTCTGTGCATTTTCTTTAAATGCTTCATTGGCGTTCTTTTCTTTCTTCCTTTCAAAACCTGGTATTCAGACTCTCCCTGTGGGCAAAGAAAGGTTCTGAGACCTGATGTCATGGACTTCTGGGAACTGTAGTTCTGATTAACCCTGTGAGTTCACATTCATTCACTTGGAGAAGGCATTTACATTCCATCAGGTAAACAACATGTATCCATGCAAGTAGAGACAAAATATATTCAGATAAATGCACGGTATCTCCATAGATAGAGGGCACCAGAATTTGAAGGTATCAAGAAAGGTCTCATGTTGGAACTAATACTTGACTTGAGATTTGAAAGTTCTTTCACAGGTAAGGATCAGAAATGTAATGGAAGATCGATAACAATTAATAACTGATTTTATAATAGCACTTTGCAGTTTACAAAGAATTTCATTATCTCATTACCAAAACCACTCTGTAACCTACATGGATTCCACCCCCCTCACATTTTACAAATAAGAAAACTGAGGCTCAGAAAAGTTAAATGACTTGTCCATTGTCAAGTCAACAAACATTTATTAAGCGTTTACTATGTGCCAGGAACATAGCTAGTAAGTAGCAGAAGCCAATTTGAACCCAAGTATTTCTGCTTCCAGGTCTGTCACCCCACAGAGGAATTAAGTAAATTAGTTTATCACCTGGAAGGGCCAAAGGAGTGAGGTAGAAAAAGAGTGAGAAGCCAGGACCAGGGTTCAGACTATAATAATTTGCTATTAAATAAATGGCAGGATATCAAACTGGACCAGAAATTGTCTCAATTTGTCACACTTGGTCCAGGGGCACTTGTGTCTTATGCACACATGTTCCCACCATCCAGAGTCTTCTGAAATCCCCTCAGGGGGAGAGGCCAAGGCTGCTACTGCTACGGTTGTCTTCTTTATTCTCCATGGCAACAGTAATTGATCCCACACCATCATGTTTTCCCTAAACATATTTTTAAAATATTAAGTTCTGATATCAGGTAGATTTTAGTAACCCAAGTTCTCTTAAGGGAATATGATCTGTGCCAACCCAAGGCCACGTGGTAAAAACTTCTGGAGATCTATCATTGTTTAGTAAAGGGACAAATTCTATGTCAACATGACTAATAAAAAAAATAGAAGTGTTGGTTTCAGGAGATGGAGCCACAGTTTAAGAAAATATTAAGATGTCAAGCCATTCTCTAATTGATAAATGGTCAAAGGATATGAACAGACAGTTCTCTGATGAAGAAATTAAAGCCATCTATAGTCATATGAAAAAATGCTCTAAATCATTATTGATTAGAGAAATGCAAATCAAAACAACTCTGAGGTACCACATCACACCTATCAGAGTGGCCAACATGACAAAACAGGAAAATGATAAATGTTCGAGAAGATGTGGGAAAATTGGAACACTAATGCATTGTTGGTGGAGTTGTGAAATGATCCAGCTGTTTTGGAAAACAATTTGAAACTATGCCCAAACGGCTATAAAAATGTGCATACCCTTTGACCCAGCAATAGCACTTTTAGGGCTATATCCCAAAGAAATCATACAAATGGGAAAAGGACCCACATGTACAAAAATATTCATAGCAGCTCTTTTTGTGGTGGCAAAGAATTGGAAATTGAAAGGATGCCCATCAATTGGGGAATGGCTGAGCAAGTTGTGGTATATGAATGTAATGGAATACTCTTATGCCATAAGAAATGACAAACAGGTTGACTTCAGAAAAACCTGAAAAGACTTGTATGGTCTAATGCTGAGTGAAGTGAGCAGAACCAAGAGAACATTGTACACAATAACAGCCACATTGTGCAATGACTAATATTGATAAACTTAAGCCTTCCCAGCAATACAAGGATCTAAGACAATTCCAAAAGACTCATGATGGAAAATGCTATACACATCCAGAGAAAAAACTATGGAGGCTGAATGCAGAGCGAAGCATACTATTTTCACTTTTTTGTTTGTTTGTTTCTCATGGTTTTCCCCTTTTATTCTGATTCTTCTTTCACGACACGACTAATGTGGAGAGAGGTTTAATATGATTGTGCATGTATAACCTATATCAGATTACTTGCCATCTTGAGGAGGGGGGAGGGGAAGGAAGGAGAAACAATTTGGGACTTAAAATCTTATAAAAGTGAATGTTGAAAACTATCTTTATATGTAATTGGAAAAATAAAATACTATTAAGGTTAAAAAAAAAGTAATAAAAAAAGAAAACAGTAAAATGGGAAAAATGATACCTGTCGTATTGGAAGAAAAGCCAGATATGAAGGTGTCCCACTAGCAGACACCGACTGCCATATTTTTTCCCATCCAGCCTACTGTCTTTCCTACTGTTATTCTAGTTGTGTGTCCTCTATCTCTTCTCACGAAGACTATTGTGCTAGCCTCCTTGACTCCATTTTGTCCCTTCTCCAATCCATCCATCGCACAGCCATCTGAATAAATTTCCCAATGTACCACTTTCATCACATCACTCTTCTTCTCAAAAATCTTCGATGCCTTTCCATTTCCCATCAATATTTATACTTGAATAATTCACTGTATCTGTAATCTGACTAATAGTGAGTAAGTGAGATAATAGCATTCACTACAAAAGTACAAGTAGCAGCTCATCCTTGCCTTCTTAACCTGTGTAATTATTTTTTGTGTCCTCAATCAATCAAATATTTATTGAGCAGTGGGCCTATGGTCTCTATCTTGGATATCATCTTTAATGTTTTACTCTAACTGGGGCAGCTAAGTAGTGCAGTGGATAGAGCTCTGGGCTTAGAGTCAGTGAGACCTGAATTCAAATCTAGCTTCAGATAGTTACCCTAAGCAAATCACTTAACTTCTGTTTGCCTCAGTTTTCTCCTCTGTAAAATGGGAATTGTAGGGTTGTTGTAAGGATCAAATGAGATAATAATTGTAAAGCACTTAACACAGAGCCTGGCACATAGTGCTACCTAAATGTTAATTACTATTATTATTGTTATTATTATTACTTATCATCTGTTTGCCTTAGTTTCCTCATCTGTGAAATCATGATAATAATAGCACCTACCCCCTAGGGTTGTTGTGGGGATCAAATGAGATAATATTTATAAAGCATTTAGCACAGTGCTTAGCACGTAGTAGGCATCATATAAATGTTAGCTATTATTATTTTATTACTAAATTGCCCCGCATGTATAATCAGTTGCCAAGTCCTATTGATTCCACCTTCTTGACATTCCTCCCATCTTTTCCCTTCTTTCTGTTTAGGCTCCTATTATCTCTCACCTATTTTATTACAATAGCCTCCTAATTGATCTCCCTACCTCATCTGTCTCCTATCCAATTCAGCCTCCACACAGCTACTGAAGTGGTTTTCCCAAAACACAGGACTGAACATTACTCCCCTACTCAATAAATTCCATAGCTCCCTATAGCCTCCAGGATCAAATACAGACTCCTCTGTTTAGTATTTACAGCCTTTTGCAACCTGGTTCCAGCCTACCTTTCCAACTATGTTATATAGGCATGCTTCTGAGATATTGTGGGTTCAGCTCCAGAGCACTGCAATAAAGCAAATATTGCAATGAAGTGAGTCACACGAATTTTGTGGTTTCCCAGTTCATATAAAAGTTATGTTTACACATACTGTTGTCTATTAAGTATGCAATAGTATTATAATTTTAAAGTGTACATATTTTAATTAAAAACACTTTATTGCTAAAAAAAATGCTAACCATTATCTGAGCCTTCGGTGAGTCATAATCTTTGTGTTGGTGGGAGGGTCTTGCCCTGATGTTGATGGCTGCTGACAGATCAGGGTGGTGGTTGCTGAAGGTTGGAGTGGCTGTGGCAATTTTTTAAAATAAAACAACAATGAAGTTCGCCATATGGATTTACTGTTATTTTCACTTAAATGATTAGAGGACAGCATTGGGTTATTAACTGGCCTAATTTGAATATTGTTGTGTCTCAGGGAATAGGGAGGCCTGAGGAGAGGGAGAGAAATGGGGGATGGTCAGTCATGGAACAATCAGAATACATACAACTTTTATCAATTAAGTGCACCATCATATATAGGCAAAACGATTACAATAGAAACATCAAAGATTACTGAGCATCAGAACAGATAGAATAAAAATGAAAAAGTTTGAAATA